ACATACGTCACAGATGTTGACACATGAACGTGTTACACACACTCATATTTCCTGTGTTTCATGTATGAGCCGAGTGCTGACCCTGTGTTTACTCATCGGCCTGACCTTTGTTTTGTCCTGCAGCTGGGTAAGATGCGACTGACGGTGCCATGCAGGGCTGTGACGTGCTCCCACTTGCAGTGTTTTGATGCTGCCCTCTACCTGCAGATGAATGAGAAGAAACCCACCTGGATCTGTCCTGTGTGTGACAAGAAGGCTGCGTATGAGAGCCTCATCATCGATGGGTAACTGAACAGCCCGTCGTCACAGAAACATGACATACTGGACCACAGCTCCCTTTTTCATTTGATCCACCTCATGTCAGCACATGGGGATCTGCACTGGTCTGTGAGGCCTTCCCCAAACTGCAGCCTCATTCATGCTCCTCCCATCTGCCATTATCTAAATGAGGATGTGGTCCAGCTGGTGAAACACTGAACAATCATCCATGTGTGCTTTATGCACCGTTTGGTGCCCGTATGTGTCAGATACTCAGGTGCACTGATGACTGAGGTCCACCTGTTGGTGACCTGGATCAGGCCTGTGTAGGCTTGGCCTAATTTATAGTGAGGCTGTGCTCAGATCAGTGTTATTTACCTACCTATCTACAATATAAAGCACCTCGAGGCGACTGTTGTTGTGATGCTGGGACCATGAATGTGACACTGCAAGTCCGTTAGGTGATGCTGAATGTGGTCGGTCCATCTGCCCCACAGGCTGAATGAAACTGTGGGTTGATGACATGTTGGTGTCCCCAGGGGAGAGAGGTTAGTGACGGGAGAAGATGTTAATGTAAATGAAAGGAACAGAGGTGATGAGGGGTTAACTAGGTTTGATGTTAAGAAGAGAAATGCAAGAGGATGGATCGTGGAAAAGGATGGAAATAGCTTTGTTGAAGATGGAGGTAATATATGAGCAGAGCCAGGTTCACACAGGTAGATTACATCTCATTTAAAGGTACCATCTGAAGAGGCAGGAGACTGTAAGGTGGTGGCAGAAACAGTCTAACCTAGGCAGGATGGATGAAGGTGGAGGCAAGGGTTACGTGGTGGAAGCTGAAGGCTGACTGTTGCAAAGAGTGGGGGTCTGGGTTGGACTGAAGCGCTACAGCACAACTGCAAGAAGGTGTTTGGGATAGTGTGGATAGAGGAAAGAGGACGTATCCAAAGGAAGAGTTCAGCAGATAGTCTGGGAGGGGATGTAGACAGGAGGCTCGGTGTGCAGCCACGAGAGGAGCGCCAGAAGAAAAGGCTTCATCTGAGGCTGATTGGCTAGGACGAGAGATTGAAGGACAGAGATGGGAATGTGCAAGTGAAGGAAGTGTACTGAAAACGTCTTAAACAGGAGTTTACTGTCTCTGTGGAGCCAGAGACAACATACTGAGAGGAAGTGTGGTCCTACATGAGGACGTGTGAGGGTGGAGCAGGACATGAGCACAGTGAGGTTTGTGGGCAGAAGAACA